TAAATGAAAATGATAATTATTATAGAATAATTAAACAATATAAAATATGAACATCTTATTAATTATTATAAGTAAAAACAACCATAGGTTAAGCAAATAAATGAGGTTAGGGACACCCCACTAAATAAATATACATAAAAATAACATAAATAAATAAACATAGTAGAATATAAAATTTTAAAGAGATAAAGTTCTCCTTCCCCTTACCTGGATAAGCAGGAGCTAAAACTTGAGCAGAACCTCCTCCTCTGGATTCCCTCCTTCTTTCCCTCTCTCTTTCTTTCTTTCTCTCTCTCTCTCTCTTCTCTCTCTCTCTCTCTTCTCTCTCTAAGATTTTCACCTTCTCAGTCAGTATAATTTTTTTTCACCCCCTGCCTCCTATTTATAGGCATCCAAGGGTTCCCGGAACGGCCCGTACTTAATCTGGAACGGCTCGTTTCGGAGCCTTCGAATATATATAAAATTTTCAACTGGAACGGCCCGTTCTAAAATCAGAACGGCCCATTTTCAAAAAGCAGAACGACTCGTTCTAAAATCAGAACGGCCCGTTCTTGGGTTCCTTTTAACACATATTGACTATAAGAAGAACTGCCCGTTTCCAGCTTAACTTTTTAGGCATTTTTCTTACGCTGGAACGACCTGTTTCACTTTGAGAACAGCCCGTTCTGGAGAAATCCAAATAGGTCTTTTTATAAATTTGAAACGGCCCGTTCCACTTTTAGGAACGGCCCGTTTTGAGTCCAGAATATTATTTTATTATTTTAATTATAAAATCCCTTTAATAATCCTATAAATATTTAAAATACATAATAATCATTTATTAAAATCTCTAAAATAGTCTATATAAAAAGAACCCTTTATTTAATTATTAACTATAAAAAAATAATTTTCATAAATATAAAATATTGTATAAAATTTGGGATGTTACGATGGTTAATTTTGATTAACACAAATTAGACTAATGTGACTTTCTAACAAATTAGACACCTCTTAGCCGCGAACATGCCCAATTGTAGACACGCTTGGCCCTAGACACAGGCACGGTCCAACGCCTTGACGAGCGCGACCCAATTCTCTATATGTAGATTTGAGATTTTTTTTATAAAAAAAAATATCAATAATACAAAAACAAGAGAAGAGAAGAAAGATTTAAGATTTAAAAAGTGTACTGACCGCATTTCGCACCCGGGCTCTCAGCCCGGTGAGATAACAAACTCAAACCAAACAAAGGTAAAAAAACAAAGGTTAAATACTTATTTTCGTCCCTTATAATATTTTTTTGTTTCAATTTAGTCCCACTTTAATTTTTTGTTTCAATTTAGTCCCCAATAATTAAAATCATTACAATTTGGGACTTCCGTCCAAATGATTTAAACGGGGTTAATTGTTGGCCACGTGGATGCCACGTGAATGTGTACGTGGACGCCAAATTGTATGAATACACTTGAAACCAGAACGACCCGTTCTGGATGCACTCTTGATGTGTTAATTTTGCAACCGGAATGGGCCATTCCAAATGCAAATTTAACACAACATGAGTGCAGAAGAACGGGCCGTTCTAAAACCAGAACTGGCCGTTCTGATTCTAAAACGAGCCGTTATGCTGCTAGAACGGGTCGTTCTGCTTCTAGAACAGGCCGTTCTGAATTCAAAACGGCCCGTTCCAGAACGCCAAATTCATGTTTTTAATTGTATTTTTTTTATTATATCTATATTAATAAAAATATAATAAATAAAAAATACAATAAATTAATATTCATTTATGAATAAAATTAAAAAAAAATCAAATAAGATAAGATCTTCTAAAATCCTTCTTTGATTTGAACTTATCCAGTTCAAAATCTTGACTAAAATGTCGCAATGTGATTCAAAAATTGAAAATAAAAATTCATAATATATCATAAATTCAAAGACAGAAACATGGTTCAGAAACACAAATTTTTTCCTCTATGAGTAGAATTTGCTCCACAAGAGTAAGTTGGACAAATTTTTTCCTCTATGAGTGTCTAAGTTGTAACTTAGTTGATGGAACGATGAAAGTATAGTGAGTATTCTTATTTCTTATAGATGTAGTATTCTTGCATTGGAGATGAAAAATCCAACTCATTGCCCACTCGTACCATAGACTTTTCATACCGACGTACTAACAAGTCTTTATTGCCTTATGATCTACCACACAAGCTATGACCAATTTAAGTCGTCTACAAGTAGAATAGTCTATGTACTTTTAAACTCATTTGATTATTACCCACTAGAACCTTGAGAACATGATCCATTCTCATACAAGGAGTATTAATAGAGATTTGTTAAAGCACCATCCCCTATTAATAATACACCTTCAATATTTTTTTTTTCAAAATACCCTCAAAATTTTATATTTATTTTCTAATTTTTTTGACTTCAGAGCCTTCTTGATGTAATCATGCCCAGACTAAAAAGATCAAGAGGTGATACATTAAAAGAACCAAGAGGAATGGGTTAAATTTGAGGACCTTTCATATCCTTTATACATAATAATTCTTGTATAGGTTCATTTTACCTTTGTATTTGTGAGACACTTTCTTTCTTTTGATATATGACATTTTTTTAAGAATTTAAGGTAGGCTACTTATAAACTTTTGCTCCATTTGACATTGTATTATGGGTCATTCATTTTTGTATTTTCAATAGTAAAAGCAGGGTGACAATTAGTAAAGTGTGTAAGTACAACTAGTAATTAAGTGAGAATTGGGCTTAGGCCAAATTTTACATATTGGGCTTGTTTTGCTCCATATTTTCCAAGATATTGATTTAGCTAGGTCTCACCGCCATTTGGTGAACCTAACTAATAAACCAATTCCAAATTTTTGGATTGGATTAAATATGGAATTTGGAGCCTTGGCCGCTAGCCTAATTTCATGGCCGAATTCACTAGCTTTCCTTGCACACTTGGGAAGCTTGTGCTACAAGCTTCTAACTTAGTTTGCTTCCTAAGCTACTAAGTTAAAAGCTTGTTTTACAAGCCTCCCAAACCATAGTGGACGGTCAAGTTAAGCCAACCATGATTCCCTTGAACCATGGTTAGTTTAGCTTGCTCCACAAGTTTCCCTACTCTATATAAACCTTTCTCCTACCATTGTACTCACTTTTGAACATTTATGAGATTGAATTTTTAGAAATTCCTCTCTCCCTCAAAGGTCCAAATCCGAGAAAAACATCTTCTCCTTAAACTTTTTCACAAAGAAATCCTTCCTTTATACCTTGGTACTTCTATGGTTGCTTCTCTAAGCTTTTGAAACGTGAAACCTTGTTTCAAATTCACATCTCAACTTCAAGAAAAGATTGGACACTTGAAAATGGCGCCTAGAGGAAAACATCAACCACTCCTCAAAGTGATTTCCATCACTTCTCCTTTACCTTCCAATGTATGTTCAACTATTTTTTCCAAGCATTCACTATCTCCCATGTTACATGCACCCATTTAATATTTAAAAAGTACACGTACCTGAACATACTTTCAAAAATTATATTATATCTAGTATTTAAGAAAATATTTTCTGTAATATTAAATTTAGTGTTCCAAAAATATTTTTTTCATAATTAATTCTATAAAATATTTTTCAAAACACCAAAATTTATTATTTCCAAGAATAAATCTAAAAGTGTATTTTTTTTTTATTTTTAGATTTTCAAAAAATATCTTCTAAAATAATAAATTTAATATTTTAAAAAGTAATTTTTACAATTATGTAATAGAAACATTTCTAAAAAGTATTTTCAAAATAAATTTATATTCTAAAAATTAATTTCGAAAATATGAAGAAAAAAAAACATTCTAAAAATATTTTCTAAAAAAAATCTACAATTCACAAAACAAAATACCTTATAATTTTGAAATCTACCTAACCCCCAAACCCCAAAATTTGAAATTTGAAAAGCATGGCAAATTACCTAAGGTGTTTAATTCATAATAAATAAATTATTGAAAAATATTCACCGATTAATGAGGGTTGAGAACTTGAGATAATATATATACAAAATATTAAATTTGAATATTGGTGTCTTTATAATAATTTCCATAAATAAAAAAATTGTAATAAAAAGAAGAGAATAATTAAAGTTTAAAACATGATAGAATTGATATTAAAAAAAAATTTAAAAAACACAAGAATGAGATAACAAACTCAAACCAAACAAAGGTAAAAAAACAAAGGTTAAATACTTATTTTCGTCCCTTATAATATTTTTTTGTTTCAATTTAGTCCCACTTTAATTTTTTGTTTCAATTTAGTCCCCAATAATTAAAATCATTACAATTTGGGACTTCCGTCCAAATGATTTAAACGGGGTTAATTGTTGGCCACGTGGATGCCAGAAATATTAATAAAAAAAACAAAAATAAAAAATAAAAAAATTGTTTTTTAATGATTATGACCAACAATAGTGATTACTCATAATATTTTTTTTCTCTTTTTTATGATGATTTTTGTTAGATTTTGTTGTTATAGATTATGATATTTTTTGATAATTTATTTTTGAGACTTAGTAAATTATTGTCATATCAATATATAATTTCTTTTGTCATATTATATTCATATTATATATTACTAATAGGAAGAAAAAAATACACTTTGTACTTCCGTAAAAAAAAAAACTAGTGATTTCTTTAAATAAAAAAAAAAGTTAAGTAGTTATTATTTTTAAAGAGAATAGTCATTTTATATATATATATATATATTTATTTTATTCTTAAATATAAATTAATGAAAAAAATAAAATACAACATAAAAATATATATTTCTTTTATAAAATAGACACTAAAACATGATATTTCTTTTATATATTATTAAATATAGATATATATCCCATTTCAAGAGTTAGAGAAAACTTTGAAAGTTTTCATATATAAAAAAAGGTAAAAGCTATGAAAAAAATTCAATTATAAAATAAATTCAAACTATTTAACATAAATATTTCATTTCTTTCTATTAAAATAATTACAAGACAAGAAAAAAAGAAAAAAAGAAAAAAAGAAAAAAAGAAAAGAAAACTAACAATGACAACCAAAAACAAAACATGATGACGACTCTTTCAAACAATATTTCTTTGATTCCCACATATTGGATGGACTATTAAATCAAGGAAACCAGCTAATTAAACATTTGCACAATGGGCATCGAGCTATTGATTGTTCTACAATGGCATAAAATGTTTTGTCGGTGCAACTAGTGCGAAAGAGAAAAAGACCCTTTGATCCTTGATTGTCACTTATCAATTGGTGAATAACTTCTTGGTCTATGAAACTACACCCCGTAGAGTTTTCCAAGCAAATACCCTCTCCAAAATCGATCAAAGGTCTAAAATCAAATATCACAAATCCAGACTCACAGTGGCGGTAGTAAACAAGCTCCTTCTGTAACCAAGAAATTAAAATAACAAGAGTATAGTTTAATTTTTTTTTCACTATAATAAAAAAAAATCATATTTATTAAATTTCATATGTTAGGGATGTATAGTGATAGAGTTACCTGAATATCAAGAACTCGTTCCCATGGAAAAGGAACAGAGACATCAGTGTTATTCCGAAGAAAGTTAAACAATATAGAAGTATCCATGACAATTTAAAACGATAATAAAGAAAAGTGTGATAGAAGCATGTTAAACAAAGATATTTATAGTAGTTTTTTTTTTCTTTTTGTCTTCTAAAAAAAAGTTTTCATATATTTACAGATATTATCTAAGTCTCACTCTACATTTAGTGAGTCTGACATAAAGTTCATCTATGCATTAATCATTTCCTTAATAATCTAAATGAATGAAATTACTCTTGTTGAAACCGTTTCATGAAATTCTGGGACTCGAGGTTTGAATCACATAAAAGTGCTTTAATAGTGGAAAAAAACTACTTCTTGAATTTGAAACAAATATACCTCTAAAAAGACAATTATAAATATAAATAAATATATTTTTTAAAATCTTAGATTTTTAAGTGGAAAGGATTAACTCCTTTTACTTAAAAAAAAATAAATAAATAAATAAATCTTACTCAAAGTAACGATTGATATTCAATTATTTGAGAAATATCAGGAATACATTATAAACTTACATTTTATTATTAGTTGAAAAATCAAAAGATTATACTAGTCTCACCTTTTATTTTATAAGTCTCATTCATGAATTTATATTTTTTTAATAAATTTTAATTAATAATAAAAAGTTAATGTTTTATAAAATTTATTATTAATATTTCTCTAAATATTTTAGATTAAAGATGATAACATTTAAAATTTATCAAAAGTTTCAAACTCACTCTTATTCCTTATTGGTAGATACTACAAGTATCTTATAGACAATCCTTCTTAAATCCAGTAGGAATACTTACTGGGTAGGAATTCTACAGATTACAAAACTAAAATATTTGACACATTATGAACACATGATGCAACCATTTTCCATACAAATTAGGGAGCATCATGGATATTACATTAGTAATTGTTATATATATATATATATATATAT